CATCCAATGACACACTAATAACATTATCTTTATTGGATCGCAAACGTTCTCTAATTACGCTTAAGGGGACATCGTCTTCTTCATCATCTTCATTATTGGTACAAAAGAGATTGTTCCAACATTTTTGAATAGTTCGCTGGTAAAGTTCATTCCAGGCCATATGTAAATCTAAAACAGCTTCTCGTAATATTACTTTTTTTAAAGCCTTAGATAAGACAGACGAAAGTAGAAACTTCCTTTACTAATATAGTTTGGTGAGTCTTATTAGATTCTGGTCCATCGGTTGAATTATCGGTGTTACGTTGGGCGGCATGTACATGACGAAAATTTACCCATCCCTGCTCCTCAGTTGTTGCTCGGGTGCATTATCCAATAGTAACAACGCTTTTATTGGAAGCTTCTGTTGTTTTAGGAAACCTTTTACCTACAAATTGAAAACACATCTTCAAATTATGAATAGAGCATTTGTGATAATTGATTGTCATACCTGAGGGACAAAGCAGCTGTGGAACTATTTCAGGAGTATACTGCTAGTCATTCAAGCGGTTTTTGAACAGTCATAATCAACAGGGATATTAACATTTTTAAATGAGCGCGGATTTTTTGCTTTCCCAATTACCAGTGGCTTTATTTTGTGTGCAGGCTAGAAACGTTATTCGTTGTTTCTCCGGCTTTCTTCCCGGGGCAGATTTTTCAAATGATGCAGCATAGGTTTTGTCTGGTAACATTTTCCAATAAAGGCCACTTTCATCTGCGTTGTAAATTTGTTCCATTCTTAAATCTAGCTCGGTAATTGTTTTCATCAATTTTTCGTTGAATGGTTGCACTAATTGTGGTTGTGCTGATAATTTTTCACCAGATATAGACAGCAGTCGAATTCCATATCTTGTTTTGAATCGTTGTAGCCAGCCATCACTAGCTACGAAATTTTTAGTTTCTTTCAGTTTTTCATTTAACAGTCTCGCTCTCTGTTTAAGTACTTCGCCACTAACTGAGACATGATTTTCCCGTTGTTTTAAAAACCACTTATACAGGGAATTTTCCATTTTAGGTGCCTTCGCATTTTTTTAAGATTTTCTTTTTCCCGGACCTCCAAATGTATTGCACGTTCTTTGTAAAATTTGAGTTTTCATACGCTTAATTTTACAGATTATTGCTTTCGATACTCCATATTTTTTTGCTAACTGTGTCACTCCCGCACCTAGGGCAACTTCGTCTATGATTTTCACTTTCTCACTCAACTTTAAACACTTTCTTTTATAGGATGTGGATGCCATAGTCGTAAAATAAATAAAATGAAATACATACGTACGTATAAACGTATCCTAAACGATCATACGACTGACCGAGTTTGTCGTATTTTATCGCAGAGGTGAATCTCCTACACTCTACATCATAAATCGGGGACTCCCCGACGCCCGACATAAATCATCGAGGCTTCAGCATTTTACCGTCGCGCTGTTTCCGTGCGCCGAGAGTTGTTTACGTTATCGAGCGTACACATTGTTTACGTTATCGCGCGTTCCGTTTGATCCTATAGAACGAAGTTTGTGTTTACATTTGCGCAAGTTTTCATTATCCCGTGTTTACGTTATCTAGCGTCTGCTGTATTTAATCTCAAAAAATAATAATAAACTTCAGTGCATTGTTTGTATGCAAGTACTATCGGTTCCTAAAGAATATAAAATGAAACGACATTACACTACGTTACACGAGAAAACGTTTCGGCAATATTCAGGGGACTCGAGGCAGGCTATCATAAACGGAATACAAGAAAGAACTAAAACAACAAAGTTTTTTCAAAAAATCTGACGTGTAGTGAAGTGAAGTATTGCCGCCTCTTACAAAATAGCGCTGGAAATTGTCAAAGCAAAAAAACCTTTTAGTGATGGAGTGCTTATCAAAAAGTGTGCAATAGAAATGGCGAAACAATTCAATGAATTAAAAGTTGCCGAGAAATTTGAAACAGTCTCAGTATCGCATCAAACAATTGCAAGACGGGTGGACCATATCAATGAACATGTATCCAAAACATTGCGTGACGTGGTTGAAAAATGTAAATATTTTTCGCTATGCCTAGATGAAAGCACTGATCTGTCTGACATTAGCCAGCTTGTAATTTTTATCCGAACTATTCAAGACGACTTCAGTGTAGCAGAGGAGATGCTTGACCTTATTCCTCTCCATGGTACAACCAAGGGTACAGATATTTTTGAAGCTGTGAATAAGTTGGTGTCAGACTACGGGGGATTTGATAAATGTTCCTGTATTGTCACTGATGGCGCCAGAGCTATGACAGGGACTGAAATTGGATTTGCAGGACTATTGAAACATAACAGCATCAACTGTCCTATGATACATTGTATTGTTCACCAAGAGAGCTTATGTGGAAAATCTTTACGTCAAATAAATGTCATGAAAGTGGCTGTTAAAATAACTAATATTGTTAGAGGGGGCAATCGTGCTTTGACTCACAGAAAGTTTCGTGATTTTTTGGCCGAAGTGGATGCTACATATGGGGACTTGTTACTTCACACCGATGTTCGTTGGTTAAGCGCCGGAAAGTGTTTGCAACGATTTTTCGCTCTACGCAAGGAAATTCCTATTTTCCTTAAAAATTAAGTGAAGTCCGACACTACGGTACTAGAAAATCAAATGGCAGATGCACAATTTTTAGCAGACCTTACATTTTTAACAGACACGACAACTCCCCTTAACGAATTGAATTTGAAGCTACAAGGAATACAGCAGAATATTGCCAACTTATTTGCACACATAAATGGGATTAAGAATAAAATTAAGCTTTTCAAGTCTTCATTACAAAAAAATGATTATTCATTTTTTCCAAGTTGTAAAGAACATTTCGAAGAAATGAAGGATTTTGAGGAAGTTTCATATTTACCTCATATAAAATACATTGACACAATTGTAGAAGAATTCAATAATCGATTTAGTGACTTTAAAAAAATCGAAAGCGACATTTCAGTTTTTATTCAGCCACTAACAATTTCTGTTGAGAACGTAAGCAGAGCAGGCCTTCAACTGGAATTGTGTGATTTGCAATCAGATCCTTTTTACCAAGGAAGAACTGAAACTGGCATGGACTTTTTTAAGTTACTGCCAGGAGAACGATACCCCAACTTGCGAAACTTAGGACTTACAATGGGATCAATGATGGGAGGCACGTATCTTTGCGAAAGCAGCTTTTCCAACATGAAATTTATCAGGTCAAAGTATAGATGTTCCCTCTCTGATAAGTCACATACTCAGTTACTTCATTTATCAACAACAAATATTAATGTTAATATTGATGCATTAGTATTAGAAAACCAACATCCTCAAATGTCCCACTGATTTTTTTGTAATTTCATATTTTTTGAATAAATAAAAATAATAGAAAAACTATTTTTGTATACCATATAGTATAGTATATACCTATTAAAACTCAGTAATAATGTTGTATAGAAAGATTTTATAATGCGGCCCTCCAAACTGCATTTTTTTAAGTGGCCCTGAATTGAATCCTATTTACAAAACCGCACACAACAGGTTGTTGAAAATGATTCCCGAGGTAGGCTAATTGCTTCTGAAAAGATAAAAGTCGTCAGGGGGTTCCGCAGGGTTCTATCCTTGGGCCATTGCTGTACATTCTGTACACCAATGAATTTTCTGGGGTGACGGGTGAGCAGACCATTCTTTATGCTGATGATACAACTTTAATTTTTAGTAAAGAAAATCATGATATGATGTTGTGCCACGCCTTTTTTTGGTTAATTAATAAAATACAATGATAAATACTATCAAACGGTTGGTCCAAGCAAAACATTGGTCTAGTGGCGTGCAAATTTAGGCCCTAGCTCAATAAAGCGGAGAGTATGGGCAGGTTAAGAGCGCCAGTGACTTAGGCCGGATTAAGCCACAACTCCCCGAGATGTTAGTCGGAACAGTACACACAGAGAGAGAGAGCCAAATAAACAAGATATCAAATGGATCACAATATATTGATTAAAAAAGAATAAAACGCACATGTGCCCCACCACTGGAGTGCGAGAAAGGATATTACCAAAAAAACTGTCGCAAAATAAAGTTAGTTGGCGTTTACCATGGTATACGCTTTACATATATGTTTTACGCCTAAACTACACTTATCTGTGCGGAGGTCTTCTCCCAGTTACGGCTAGGCGCAGCCGAGATGTATCCTAGGTCAAAAAGAACAAAAAAAGGAAGCCAGTAGTGGCCACGTCACTGGGCAGGGGCTGCTTGCCTCGGTCCCAAAAATTATGATGGCAACGAGAAAAAAAAAACCCTAGAGAGAGAAATCTACTCTACTCTCTGTCTGAGATAAAACTACTCATTAAAAACAATCGCACTTCAAGCGAAACTATGTACATTTTTTCGTATAAGAAAAGTAAAGCAAAGGCAAAAAAAAGATAAATATGTACTAAACTAATATACCCTTGTTCTAGAAAGTTATGGCAGCTCAAAAATCAAAATCATGATCAATGTAATAGAAGGTGCCATGTAGGCACTGCCCCCATATTTGAATAAGTAGACTGTCTAATAAAATCAAGAAGTCTCTAAGAATTTCAATAAGCAATAATAAATGTATAAAGATCTATGAAACTGTTAATTAGATTGATATTTTACCTGTTCACATCAGGTGTTTTTTTCAAGGGGATGACTTCCAATTTGCAAAACTGCAACCATGCAACTGACTGGAGCAGAAAAGATGATAATCTTCTTCTGTTTCTATTGACAAAAAGAAAGCAGATATTGAATGAACGTCATCAGGACACGCATTAGGGCACGCAGTCCGAATGTATATAAAAAAGAACTTACCGCTGAGGGTCAAAATCCCATAAAAAATGGAAGACGTAGCACCCAAAATAACTAAACTTAAGTTACACAACAAAAAAAAAGGGTGCTAGTCTATGAATGAGCGCTTGGGACCTAATATTCCAGAATCTGGAGAACGACAAAAAGACCCCTGCACCACGACCTCAACGGAAACTGAAAAGCCAATCACGCAAAATACGTAACATTGGAGTTTTAATATTACCTGAGTTGAGTAACAATTCTTGGGAGTACATATACGTTTTTACATTGAGATCTTTATCAACAATTACAGAGTGAGTTATGATGGGTGCTGGTTTATATTCTAACTTAAATAAAGTAACTTTATCCTGAACAATTTCATGCCACCCATATGGACATTGCCATGAACTGAAAACTGTGAGAAAGTCTGAATAATTTTGAAAACAAGTTGATGTTTGATACGAGGAATAATCATCAATGCTAGTTTGCAGTGCTTTAAGTAGTTGTTCTTGTTCCTTGTCCCTCAATTTCTCATATCGGCTTCTTCTGCTTGATATGTCCTTTGAAAGGTATTTTGGACAATTTGCAAAGATACTTGGAATTACATCTGCCTTTAATTTTGGATACTTAAGGGGTACAGTAATGGTCCTACCTGTCTTTTCGTCATGGAAGGTAGATTCCCAAATGATGCTGTCCTCAGCAAAGTGCAAATTACATACTCGGGTGTAAATTTTGTAACCACTAAATCAGTCACTACGAGGGATTGCATTGAGCCATCTTTTACGACCGTTTTCGTTCAGTGGAAACGAAAATACGTGTACCTTCGGACCCTTCCCGTAATTACCGACACAATTAGGAACGCAGCACTTGTAAGGCATTTTGAAAACTTAGCTAAACAATCGCGAGACAAATATATATTTAAAACATCAATAACTTTCAGTTTACATAGCATAGAAAGATGAGGCTCAGAATGTGAGGTTAGTTGGCAAGGTTGCCACATATTCCAATTTTGAATGGAGTATTAGACTTCACAAGTGACAGATTGAATGTAATATCGAAAATGTATTCTTGACATACTGAGGCAGATCAGAAAGAAAAATCAAATCATCACTGAAGCTGCGCAGGCCCCGAGTACATCTTGCAAATTCCCCCACAGAGAGGTACAACTAATCAGTAGAGATTTCGATACTGTTATATCAAACCTAGATATGACAACACCCCAGAGAAATGGTGGCGCGGTTCTTTTGCCAGTCAGTCATCGCATAGGCCTACTCTGCGTGCCAGGCTTTTCAGAGCCCAGTTGTTTGGCCTTGTACTCTCGGTGGTAACGGTATTACGCACCTTGAAAATTGACATTTTGTCGTTTTTTTACATTTAGTAGTTTTTTTGTGACATAACGTTGGTTTTTCTACAAAATGTTAACTCAGCCCAAGCTGTTATAAACTTGTTATGAACTCGATTTGTAACTGTACGTGTTGTTTGTACGTCATACTACCTAGTCTGCAAGGTGACATTTTGTCGGTTTGTTTAGGTTTTTTACAGAATACCTCTGCGGTTTGTTGTATAAATGTTACCATGCATCCTACAACACAACTAATTTGACATCCGAGCTAATATGTCGTATAAAATAGTTGCATAAACCGGTATGCAACAGTTTCAAATTTATTCTATAAGGTGTTGTAAGCTACAAGAATGTTTTAGATATCCGCTGGAAGTTGGCACGCCTTTTTGCAGCATCCTTGATTATTTTCAAAGTTCGGAACCACTTTCGAATAGTTATTCAGTTCTCAGGGCGGTGCGACAATAGTTCTGCAGTTTTTTGCGGAATTTTTAAAAAAGTTTTGGGGGTGCCAACTTCACGCCGCACCCCTTTTACGTAGAACGTAGGTTCTGAGCTGTGGATTCTCAAGGTAGTGAATAGATCTACAGTTCTCAATTGTTTTTAGCAAGAACTCTGCAAAATTTTAAAAATAGAAAAAAAACAGCATCGATCATCCACGAGACAATTCACTAGCATGTCACATTTATCGCCAGAAAATTATAAAGTACACGCCACTTCAGCACAGTAATCCTCACACATTCACGCAACTAATGATGTTCAACAATTTTCAAACACTAAAATTGGGGATTCTATGAAAAAAAAACTACTCTTGGTTGGGGAAAATGTGGAGAAATAAATCCGATATATCAAAAATTCCCACAAAAGTGTTAAATCCCAGAGCTCTGGCACATCACTATCTTTAGATACCTCCAGCATCATACCCAGTACAATTTCAAAAGCAGAACTCGGGGGTACCATTATAAAAAACTAACCTTGGTTGGGAAAAACGTTGGGAAATATCTTGGAAACTACAAAACTTCACTTAAACATGTTAAACAAATATGTAGGAAATCATGTCGAATTGGATCCCTATAAATCTGAAGAACCTTGATAAGAATCGTTCATAAGCAACACGGTCGTTCTGAAATATAATACATTTTAAGCAGATAAATCCAGAATAAAATTGTACCACAATGCCCTAAAGAATCAACTGTGTAGATTGCTCTCATACAAATTATTTAGTTTCTAATGCAGTTTGCACCAGAATATTCTTTGACCCGTGTAGTAATATAATTAGTATGATTTTTTGTAGGCGAAAATTGCATCCGTTCATTTATTAATTAACACGCGTTGCTAATATTCCGAATTACTACATTACTAGAACTGCTTACAACGATGTACTTATTATTAAATAAATTACATCCCCGTTGGTTGTTTACATTCCATGACATCACTAGTGAGCATGATTGCTAGAAATTCATGCTATATGAGTGTGAAGCGCTCATCGTATCTGAATAACTATTATTCAAAGTATGCGCATGTTAAGTTGGAAAGGGTTTTTCAATATTTCGATGTCCCGTTTCGATTACACGGTTTCCATTTTGTTCTTAGACATGATTAGCGTTATCTCATCAAAAACCAAATGTAACAGTTATCTATCCATAGACAGGGTCCGGCATTGGAATGTGACACATTTTACCCGCCACTGCCTGACGCATGAATGTGTGGGGGAGTTCTGTTTATAACTGATGTTTTTGTTATTAGGTATTTTCGTGTTATAAATTCAGTACTGTCACAGAACGGTTCTGGAACTGGCAAGACTGAATGCGTAAAGGGCGAGATCTCTGGAGCGGTTATTAACGGTCCGTGAACTATCAGAAAAAAAGATAACTGTGCGAAGAGAACATTTGTCAGTAACTATAACCACAATAATTTTTGAGTAACTGCTTTAGTTCATCGTCACTGTCAGACGACGATAATGATGACGAATCAGAATAAAAAATTATCGGCATTGAATCCATTTGTCCACTTTTCTTTTAATTTTGTATAAAAAACACTCCTCAAACCGCAAAAAAGTAAACGGCATTTAAAGCAAAACACGTAAAATAATTTTAATGAGATTGGCAGAAGGAATACGCATGCATGAAAAAACAGTTCAAAAATGGGCCCGAAGTAAAGTAAGAGCTGACTGAACGATTCTCGAACCATCCTAGAACTGAACCATGATATAACTCGAACACCAAATTTCATTTCTAAAACGGTCCGATAGTAATCCAACAGAAACCCAAACCTACGTCGGTTTCTTCTGCGCATTCTGCTGAGTTCTAGAACAGTAATGATAAAAACCCGCGGAACATTATTTAACGATGGTTTAAGAAGTGGAATGCTCACGGAATGGATAGGTTTGCTGGTTCTTAGCGTACTGTGCGAACGCCTGAAAATATTCAAATAGTTGAGGAAGCAGTAACAGCCAGTCCAACAGGTTCAGCGAATAAACATGCAAGGACTCTAAACCTATCAGATAGTACAGTGCGCCGTATTTTGCATGATGATCTTAAGTTTCATCCTTATAAAATATAGATCAATTATCCCCACAAGATCCACCTAACAGACTTGCATTTTGCCGGGAATTTGTAAGATTGTTGTGGGAAAGGCCAGATCTGATGGATAATTTAATTATGTCGGATGAAGCTCATTTTCATTGATCGGGTTTTGTTAATAAACAAAACTTTCGATATTGGTGCGGTATTGCAACCTTCGGGATTATTGGACCGTATTTTTTTGAAGAGAACTATCGAACTGTAACCGTTACCCAGGAGCGATATTTGCAAATGCTACAAACGTTTCTTACTGCCGAATTACGTGGATTGAAGAACACGAAATATGGTTTCAACGAGATGGGGCAACTAGTCATATCGCTAGAATAATTATGCAGTTTTTAAGGAATAAGTTTCTCGGGAGATTAATTTCCCGAAATGGAGACCTTGCCTGGCCAGCACGTTCTCCTGACTTAACGGCTCCAGATTGTTTCTTATGGGCGTACTTAAAGTCTAGTGTACCTAAACAAGCCCCGCACACTGGATGAGCTAAAGAACAACTTAACTGGGAGATAAGGAGAATTGATGGAAGATTTCGAGGCGCAGTTATGAACCATTTTCGAGACAATACTGAAAAATGTATAGACTTTAATGGTGGACATCTAAAATCTGTAATTTTTAAAAAAGAATAAACTGTTAAAAACTGCATTCAATGAGTATTATTTTTCAGATTTGTACGTCTTTTTACAAAAAATGTCTAATCACTACAGTGTATCGAAAAACATCACATTCCACCGCCGGACCCTGTACAAGCCATGACAGCTTCATAAGGAATCGTCCCCTAGATTCTACAATCGCTACAGACCCTGTAAAAAAGTTGAAAAACATGAAAAAGATAAAATGCTTATAGCAGTGTTTTATAAGTATCCACAAACAAGTTTCGCCTATTTGATTTTATCTTTTTAAATAGAGAATACTCAGCCCGAAAATAGTGTGGGACTCCCTTGACATCCTAAAACCATTGACAAATACCAATAGAGTAACAGGCGTTTTGCATGGATGATTATTACAAAATTTCATTTCGTAATTACACCGGAAATTTTCTGGTGAGTTCGTCAAGAAAGGAGATGATTTTCCTCTGACAAAAGAGAAGTCACAGTTCAATAATTGGGGGTGCAGAATAAATCTCATGATGTTATAGACCGAAAAATATGCGATAAATAGGTGCGGATTTGAAATACCTTGTATTTAGCGCAAGGGCGCGGTATCGAAGCCCTATCACAGTTCTAAAATTCATTACCTCGTCATAGGCGGAGGTGTTAATCATAAACAAGCGGCAGCAATAAAGAAATTGAGCTCTAACCCTTTTTCCACTAAAAAATGTTCAGTCTAGTCTACCTATTTTAAGCTTCCATTAATTAATTACGTATCAAATTGCATGCACACGAGTAAGAATTGTGTGTTGAAAATAATAATTGTACAATGTTTCCTTTGGCAATATTTGCGACTAATTGCAAGGTCAGTAAATATTTTATCACTGGATATGCATGAGGAATAGGTTTATTGATTTTAGGGGCTGAATATAGAGCAGAGAGCTAATTATACCTTTTATGATATCCTTCATATTTCCCAAGATGTGGCTTAAAATATATTCAGGTTTTAATTCCGTCCTAGTTTTGGTTTAATATTCAGTCGAATTTTTGCATGGATTTATTTATCATGAAGTACGCAGTTGCATCTTTGGATCGTCATATTTTACTTGGTAGGTGTGATTATGATCTGTAAATTCTTAACCCCTCTATAACTTGGAAAGTACCTCTCGGATTTTGATAAAATTTTACAATAAAACAGTAAAAAGGGCTCAAATTTCTTCAGTTTCAGCTCATTTTCGGAATGTTTTTTTTTGGAGAGGGGTTTCTAGTTTTAAATATTTCGCATCGGTTAGATATAATAGTCAGATGTT